AGAATAGAATAGAATAGAATAGAATAGAATAGAATAGAATAGAATAGCTTTATTGGCCAAGTGTGATTGGACACACAAGGAATTTGTCTTGGTGTAAATACTCTCAGTATACATAAAGAAAAGGTACATTCGTTAAGAATCAAGAATCATAACATACAACACTTAATGATAGTCATAGGGTACAATCAACAATCAAATCATACTAGGAGTGGGAAGGGATGGGTGATAAGGAGTGGTGAGAAGATTAACAGTAATAGTAGTGTACACTTTGTAAATAGTTGAACAGTGTTGAGGAAATTATTTGTTTAGCTGAGTGATGGCTTTCGGGGGAAAAACTGTTCCTGTGTCTAGTTGTTCTGGTGTGCAGTGCTCTATAGCGTCGTTTTGAGGGAAGGAGTTGAAACAGTTTATGTCTGGGATGTGAGGGGTCTGTAAATATTTTCATAGCCCTCTTTTTGACTCGTGTAGTATACAGGTCCTCAACTGAAGGCAGGTGGGTAGTAATCGTTTTTTTCTGCAGTCCTAATTATCCTCTGAAGTCTGTGTCTGTCCTGTTGGGTTGCAGAACCAAACCAGACAGTTATAGAGGTGCAGATGACAGACTCAATCATTCCTCTGTAGAACTGTATCAGCAGCTCCTTGGGCAGTTTGAGCTTTCTGAGTTGGCACAGAAAGAACATTCTTTGTTGTGCTTTTTTGATGATGTTTTTGATGTTAGGTGTCCATTTTAGGTCATGTGATATAGTAGAACCTAGAAATTTGAAGGTCTCTACTGTTGATACTGTGTTGTCTAGTATTGTAAGAGGTGGTAGTATAGGAGGGTATCTTCTAAAGTCTACCACCATTTCTACAGTTTTGAGTGTGTTCAGTTCCAGATTGTTCTGGTTACACCACGAGGCAAGTTGTATAACCTCCTGTCTGTATGCGGATTCATTGTTGTCTCGAATGAGACCAATCACTGTTGTGTCATCAGCAAACTTCAGTATTTTAACAGATGGATTGTTTGAGATGCAGTCATTGGTATATAGGAGAAGAGAAGTGGAGATAGCACACACCATTTCCTTATTATTCCCAGAAACTATATGTAATCCCCAAGAACCAAGCTCAACTCATTTTGTATTTCCAAAAGCCCTTGGTAATATCACTTTGTATCACATTCCAAATCTTTATTATGTTCTTGGACCAGCCTTTACAATAAAAGACAACAGTAAAAGGAGAAATGGCTTAATACAGCAATTTGCTGGTAGGGAAGGGAAAAAATAGCAGAAGAATAAAACAGCATGTCTAATTAAAAATGTTTGTGTAGTTGTGTAACTTGATAAAAAATATTTGGCCCACTGGTATATGAGCATAGAGTTAGCGTCCCAATAACAAATATAAAATTTATCCGCATGGCCTTCTTATTTGGATTATCATATGCTTAAGAAGACAACAGGACCAGTTAAAAAAAAAAAATCTGGAATTTTTGTTCAAGAGGCAAAGCTTTAGAAAATTACCGTAATAGTAAAAGGAAGCCCAGGTTAACTGATTGCTGCCTATCCATACTAAAGGGGCCATTTAGAAATCATTGCTTATCAGGAAATTACTCCAGCTTTGTCTACCCAAAACCTTCCAGTTGACCTTGATTAGTGAGTGGGAAGAAGAACTCAGGCAGGATTGTTTTGCAGAAGGCAGAACAGGCGTACACAAAATGGTGGATATGCCCCTTTTTTTTTTCTTTTGGAGCAGGAGGAGAATGCCATTCAGCCAAGGTCCTATGTTAAGATCACACCTATAATTTTAGCCCTTTCTGATGTACTTTTCTTTCTTTTCGGTGCTTAAAAGATATCTACATGTTTATAATATTGCCTTTCCAATGTTAATATTAATCTCCCTTTTCCCACTTAAATTTTCTCTATATGGTTTTCCCACTTAAATTTTCCCTTATATGGTTTAGACTCACAATCTTCAGTCAGAAATAACAGAATGGAGACTGTAACAAAAAATACCAGGCAGGAGATGGGTAGGTCAAAAATTAGGCGGCCAATTTTAACAGAATTAAAGATACATCACCGACATCTGCCTAAAAAGAAAATAAAAATAGTAAGCCCTAAAGTTTGAGGCCTAAAGAGCAATTTGTGAATGTTCTCCCACCCACTTTTAAAGACATCAGAAAAAAGGCAGATTCTATCTGAGGAAAAAAAGTGATCGAGAAATCTTGACAGGATAACGAAAATAAGCACATATAATAGAAAAGCAATATTCTGCCTAGCTAAATATCAGATTAATCCTACAAACCTGTGGTAGCTGAAAGTGTGTGTGTGTGTGTGTGTGTGTGTGTGTTTGATTCATTCTATGTCACCCAAAAGCTTCACCAAACTCTTCAGAAAACATGCAGTCATATTTTATGATATTACAGATATCTTGCTTAGAAAATGTCTTAGAAAAGACTTGGTAGTGATGACTTGATGACTTTATTATCCTTATCACTATGTAAGTGATAATTGCAAGATGGTCTACATGGAGATGCCTCTGAAGATCAAGAAATTTTGCTGGAAATGCCACAGCCAGGAGATTAACAGAGGAGAGAGCTGTTCTAGAGAATCATCTATTTTGCCATCTTTGCACTGGCTGCCAATGGGCTTCTGGGTCAAATCCAAAGTCCTATTCAATACCTACACAACTCCTTGTGGTAGTGCAGCTCCAGAGTACATCAGGACCACTTTATTCAGCACAATCCCTCTCCCTTCCAGGAAGAGGGTTGATGGATTTTTTTTATTGCAATCTTTTTGTGTTATACACCACCCTAAGTCTTGTGAGAGGGCAGTACTACCGTAGCAATAAAGAGTAAGGATAGTAATAAAAAAAGAAATAGGTGTATTGATAATTAACAGGAAAATGACAGTCCTAGACCTGAAAATGATGTTTTCTAGTACTGAGAGGACAAATACACCTGATTTGACAAAGTATTTTATTTGTTTTTCCTTGGTAGCAGAGAAGAATCTGGTAAGTTAACTTTTCTCCACACCCCTCTATTTCACAAACCTAGCATACAAATTTCACTATTTCTGGATAAAAATCAATGTCTCCTTATTGCTAAAGTCATCTTGGATGTAATATGGCTCCAGTGTAGATTGACTAAAGATAGTACCTAGTTAATGACCTAGACTAGGCAAAAAATAAAATAAAAATAAACCTCATTCCCTAGTACATTTCCCCTCCCCCTTGTTTTTTCTTTCTTTCAAACATTGACCAATTTCCCTAAATCATCCACTTCACCATAATCCAAGTCATCCTCTGATTTTGAAACTGGTTAATCAATCGTCAGATTTTATTCTAGTCACAACAGGACCTTGCCAACCTTGGTTGACCTGAAAGAAAACCTAGTATGAGTTCAGCATAAGTAGTGCTTAGATGAGAGACCATTAGGCTGCAGGCTAGTCCATGAAGTTGGGGGGAAAAAACCTTTCCAGAAGAAGACAGTGGCAATCCACTTCTGTATTGTTAGGCAGGGAGAGACCCAGGATTCAAGCTCAACTTAACAGAGGCTTTGATTGGATTCATTGCAGATTTACCTAGCTACATAAATATTTATTTTAGGCTCTCTGTCTGAAAGCCTTGTGTTCTTATGTTGGTCAATAACCGTACATCAGCCAAATGGATTTCAAACAAAACCGCCTCCCAACCAAATGCAATTTTCTCATCATCTTATGGATGAAACAGGAGATTGATCTGCCTGTCATTTTACTGAATTAGATTCTTGTGGCGAATGAAAAACAGGAAGCATGTATTCCTTCGCCTCCGCAAATCCTGAAGTTTCACTCCAGTCTGAACAGATCAATCAAACAATGTCTGTCTGTCCCTCCCTCCCTCCCTCTCCTAGCCCCAGAGTAAATAGGTTTCTAAAAAGCATTAAAAAAAAGGCCTCGCAGCAGCCTACGCATTTGGAGAACTGACATTTGATCCCGCGCCAAAAGAGGGGGAAATCTTTGAGCGCCGGGGTGTTTTCAGACTGCCCTATAATGGGAGGTCTAAGCAAAAAACAAAGGTCCCGCACAGCACAGAGGAAGCCCCCCCCCCCCCCAACCCCCCCCCCCCCCCCGAGAAAGAGGGCGAGGGACATTGTGAAAAGGCAGCGCCCGAAGTTTGAAGCGCCTTGAAACTCCCTCTCCTGCATAGTTTCTGCCTCATGCGCGCAGTTCACTCTGGATGGCAAAGGCAGCGCACCGCCGGCCGGAGGACAAGGCGAGGCAGGGCGCGCGTTTCCAAAAGGCGGCGGCTGTAAAAACCCTCAAGGGGGGAATTCCCAAAGCAGCGCCTCAGCGCCGCCCCCACCTTCTCTTACCGTCCGTTCCCAAGGAAGGTAACGCGGCCGCCAGGAGAAAGCAGCTGAGAAAGCAGGCGGAGTAGGAAGCGGGCGAAGGGGCGCCCATGGCCGGGCAAGGTTGCTCCGCCCGGCCCACTCTCGTCGCTCGGGGGCTGGGGCCGTGCAAACGCCGCCCACCCTTTGGGCCCTGGGCCAGGGCGGGGAAGGGAGGGAAGCGGAGTTCTCCTTCGGGCTGCCGTCTCTGTCACGAGCTTGCGGGGTTCAGGAGGAAACGTCCTCCGTGCTCCTAGCGCTTTCCCTTCAGGCCGAAGCAGCTACGAGGCAGACGTTCCACTGGTGCGGTGCTTCCCAAAGTCTGCCATGAATTTTTTATTTTTATTTTTTTGCGCGTCATTCTGGACTTTCAGCGGCACAAGCGCTTCGTCCGAAGAAACAGAAATCCTCCGGGTGAAGTTAACAGACTTTTTTTTTTTTTAGATTTAATATTTTTAATAATTAAATTAGCCATTCCATAAAACGCACCATTGCAAATTACAATAAAGAGAATACATTTTGCCTCCTTTAAAACCTACTATATACATTGCTTGGATGATGGATCCACAAATTCATTACAGGGAACAAACCTTCAAAACAAGCCTTAAAACACTTTAGCCAAAGGTAGAAGATTCAGCACACTTTATTTATTTTATTTTATTTATTTTATTTATTTTTATTTTATTTATTTGATTTGCCAATTGTTTACAAGATAATAAGTATAAGAGTATACATAGTTGTGAATACATGAAATGGGTACATATATGAAAAATAAAAGAATAAGAGAAACAATAGGACAGGGACGGTAGGCACGTTGGTGCGCTTATGCACGCCCCCTACAGACCTCTTAGGAAAGGGGTGAGGTCAATAGTAGACAGTCTAAGGTTAAAGTTTTTGGGGTTTGGGGAAGAGACTACAGAGTCGGGTAGAGTATTCCAGACATTGACCACTCTATTGCTGAAGTCGTATTTCCTGCAATCAAGTTTGGTGCGGTTTACTTTGAGTTTGTATCTATTGTGTGCTCTTGTGTTGTTATGGTTGAAGCTGAAGTATTCACTGACAGGTAGGACATTGCAATGTATGATTTTATATACCATGCTTAAGTCAGACCGAAGACAGCGTAATTCAAGGTTTTCTAGTTCTAGAATTTCAAGTCTGGTGGCATAAGGTATTCTACAACGAGTAGAGGAGTGGAGAACTCTTCTTGTGAAATATTTCTGGACTTTCTCAATTGTGCTAATATCAGATACGTAATGTGGATTCCAGACTGATGAACTGTATTCGAGTATTGGTCTAGCAAATGTTTTGTATGCTCTGGTTAGTAGTGTGATATTACCAGAGAAAAAGCTACGTAGGATTAGGTTAACAACTCTTAATGCCTTTTTGGCTATGTAGTTGCAGTGGGCTCTAGCACTTAGATCATTAGAGGTGAGTATTCCAAGGTCCTTTACAGAGCTTGGGTCATCAACAAGTTCTTGATTATTCAGCTTGTATTTTATTTTCTGATTTTTTTTGCCAATATGTAAGACAGAGCATTTATTTGTTGAGATTTGAAGTTGCCATTTGTTTGACCATTCTGATACATAGTCAAGATCTTTTTGTAGGGTAGCAGTATTGTCTGTGGTATTGAACAGCTTTACGTCATCAGCGAAGAGAAGGCAATTGCTCTTAATATGATCACAGAGGTCGTTTATGTAGAAGTACGTAAATGACAGAGCCAACCATCAAAATGCCAAGTGGGAAACACCTACAGGCTTTTGAAAAGATTTTTTTGTAAATCCCGCCTTTATTATTTTTTATAAATAACACACAAAGTGACGAACATACCTAATACTCCCCCGAACTCTGAAGGGCACTGACTTTTTAGCCGGCTGCAGTGCATTTCCCACAGCAGCCTTGGAGGAAGGATATTTAAAAAGCCCATAAGAGCCGAGGCTGTCCCTGTGGACAAGGAGCTGCTGAAACTATAGCTTATGCCCTGTTATACTGTATCTTCTATAAGGACTCAGGCATTCATTTCATAACACCTCACCTGATACAATATCTGGGAAAGCCAATCTCACATGTACAATTGCTGTTATTGGAGGAGTCTGATGTAGGTGTTTTTAAAAATGTTGCTGAATTTTGATATACGGTCAGCAAAATTAGGCAGACTTTGACTGCCCACTAATTGTCATATACTATCCTGCCTTTTTATTTTTATTTTTATTTATTTTTATTTAAATTTTTTATTGATTTTTAAGAACAAACATAAACAAACAAAACATAAAAACATAAAACATCTTTTTTGAAAGCAGCTTGATCCCGGGTTACATCTCTTCGTACAGACACAAATTCAAATTCATGTTCATTTTATATATCATTCCATATCTTATTACCATTCTACATTTTCTATATAGCTTCTCCCCTCTTTTAACTTTCTTAATTTTATTTTATTTATTTCATCTCAATTCAGATCATTATACTTATATTCTTTGTCCTGTTTCCAGCTGTCTATTATCTTTTCTCATTAAACAAAATTTATCCTGTAATCACTGATTGGAGTATGACGCCTTTATATCTTTCCCCTAAATTTATAACACTTAGTATAATACATAACTTCCATTCGGATTCTGCTTAGTACATTCTAAAGTTACACATTATATTTTAAAAAGAGAAAAAATTATAAATATATAATATAATTAAAACAACAATCCATACCAATTCAAATCTATTGTTAATATTAGTATTCATTTAGATCTTAAACATTTTACACATTACTTTTCAAAATAAGTATCATACTTCTATGGGAACGCTTATAAACTTTCCATAGTTACTCCCCCCCCCCACTTCAGTCATATTTTAAAACATTATATCATTAAAATGTTCCCATTCCTTCCTAGTTCAATTCTCTCATTTATTTCATTTCATTTATTTTGTTCACAAAAGTTTCACTGAATTACACTATTTTATCCCACTTTTTAATCATGTTGTTTCCAATTTTCTAACATTATTTCTAATACAAATATAACAATACAATCTTATGTACCTTTGCAGAATCACTTTTTCAGTTAAATTTTTACCCATTATCTCTAAATAAGTCCTGTTTCTTTACATCTTGCTCCACACCTTTGTAGCTTCTCTTCCCTTTCTCCCTCCCTTGCTTCTTCTCTCTGCCCGTTTTACCCCCTTGTCTCTCCACTTCCATTTCCCTCTTCTGTGTTCTCCTTTTCTGTTGCTTTCTAACATTATATCCACTTTTCACCTTATTTTTCCCTTTTTTGGTTGTTTTTTGGGGGTCTTAAAGTCTCCATTCTCTTTCCCCCCTTTCCCCCTTCTAAGTAAAGTTACTTGTTCGTCAAAGATGGCTTCTTCTTTGTCCCAATCTTCTTGTTGTGCAGTCTTTTCTTGTAGTTTCTCATAGGTATAAATCGCCATTTCTAAGAATTGAAAAACGGAACCAAGAGAGCCCTTCCCTTCTTGTTCCTCTTCTTTATATTTTTTTTAATTCCATTTTCAGTTCATCCACAAGTGATGCCATTGTAAAAAAAAATTCAAACAACCACCCAAGTGTTTTTAGTCATTCAAATATAATTTCCAAAAGTCCCAAAGTCACCAAGCAATCCAAATACACACAAGCTGTTTCTTTTAACACTTTCTTCTTTTTTCACTTTCTCTTCCTGGGGTTACTATTTAGTTACAAAGTTCCAGTTAAGATGTATCTTTTAGAAGTCTTGTTAGAATTTAATTAGATTCTTTTAAATTCCAGGCAGTCTCCTCCTTCCAAATCCTACTCTTATTCTTTTCCTCTCCCTTCCCACTTACAGCAAGAAATTTTTTTTTTTAATGTTCAGAAATCCTTACTGTCCCCTTGACATTTAATTATCCAGTTTAATTACTTCTTGATGCCAAAGCGGGATTTTCCAATTTCTCATTCATCTCTGTTCGCTGTCAATGTAAGGAAGGAGAGTGAAAGAAAAAAAAAACCTTTCCCTTTTCACTTTCATTCGCTGCTTCCGAATCTTCTTTGGGAGCGATGTATCTTTTTTAAAATTTAAATTCCAGGATACCTTGGTTGTTGCTTCTTGTCCTGGTTAGCCAAAACTTTCACTTCTTAACTTCCTTCTGCACTTTCTTTTCCGGATGGGTGCTTCTTTGAGGCGGCCATTTCTGACCACCACTCATTCGCCTTTGGGAAAGGGAGTTTAGCCAGCTGGGGAGGAAAGATGTGGCTTTCCTCAACCCTGCTGGGATCTCCCCCCTTTGCCACCTCTACGGGGTGGCTTAGCCCTGAAGCCAGACTGGCTCGGGACACTCCAGTGGCGAGCCCAGGCAGAAACCGTGCACGATCGCGGATTCCTGCTTGCCGCCGAAGCCCTGCAAACTGGAAGTTCCTGCCTTTTTATTTTTGAATGCTTCATATTTGTAATGCTGCGGACACACCTGCAGACACACCGTGGACAACCCACAACCCGTTAGATGTCAAGGCCCTCTTCAAAAATGATGGACGAAGATCATTTATAATGCTAGTCTGTGACCATAATAAAAATATTGTTATTTATTACTTAATACTCCTTCTGCCCCCCACCTCCCAATTTTCCCCACAACCACCACCACCTTGTGAGGTGATTTGGGCTGAGAGAAAGTGAGTGATTCAAAGTCATCTGGCTGGCTTTCATGGCTAAGGTGGGACTTCAATGCAGATTCTCCTGTTTTCTAGCCTGGTGCCTTAACCAGATGACACTGACCTTACTGGAAAGTCATTCTTTTACTCATCTTTTTTTTAAACTAGGTTGAGGGTGTTCTCGTCAGATCACTTTACTATTTCAAACTACTCCTTGAAGTCAAACTATACTAATGCCTGTTAGGTCTGGAGCACTTTTATCTATCATCTATCTATCTATCTATCTATCTATCTATCTATCATCTATCTATCTTCCCTCCTTCTCTCATTATTATCTCTCATCATCTCACAAAGTTCATTTTTTAAAATTCTGAAATTACAATTATTAGGTATTTTTCTCTTAGATCTTGGAGAGGTTTTAAATAGTACTTCAATTTACAGACACCTACAGTTTGACCAGCAGAGGGCATCTGACATTTTCCTGAATATAACTGAATAGTTATTATAATAATTTAGCTGTTTTTAATTGCCATTTTTTACATGAGCAGAAA